CTGACGTTGACGCTGAGGCGGATGCTGACGTTATGAGCTTTGCCTTTGCCCCTCGTTTGAGATCGGGAAACCAGTTAGTTATTACCTGTCACAGGGTTCGTCTGGATCTCAGCTTTGCCTCTAAAAACCAAAAAAACCGAAAAAACTAAAAACTGAAACTGAAACTGAAATCGAAAATGAAACTCAAGCCGAGACCGTGTCCACTGTCTCTGGCAGATCTTTGCCGCAGGCCACTCGGCCGGCATACATATTTCTGCACTGACTCATGTCCGGCATCCTTGACGCGCTGCCCCGGCGCATTCGTGACTGTACAAGCGGTAATTTGCCTGAATATTCGGTTCGGCTCGAGTTCGGTCTGGTCTGGTCTGGGATTTGCCTAGCAGTCATTAGCCTTTTGGCAGCGCACCAGTTCCTGGAAACTTCTCCCTCTCGATGATGCTGCTGCTGCTGCTGACACCAGCCTCTGCCTCTGCCTCTGCCTCTGCCTCTGCCACCGCCTCTGCCTTGGCTATAGATCTGTGTGTCTGGGCCAATGACCGCGTCCAAGGCCGCGCACAGTGCACAGTTTTCCTGTTCTCATTTTTCACGTGCCTGCCGCGTGCGTGTCTGATCCTTAAGTGGCCAACCTATATACAAGTGCATCCAACACACACACACACACACACACACACATTCGTAGTTGTTGGTTGTCCTGCGCTGGGGCGGGTGCATTGACCCAGCGGCCATTGTCTTAAGTGCTTTGTTTTTTTGATTTCCTAGAGGCTGCCTGCAACATGATGCATCCTTGCGCTGCAGCTGTTGCTCGAGTCGTTGTCAGTTCAATGACTTAGTCGACCGAATAGCTGCTTCTTAGTTGGACATGTGCGGCTGTACAACAACACTTGCTGCTGCTGCTGCTGCTGCTGCTGCTGTTGCCATGCATTCTCCGCATTCTCTGCTCTCAACTGGATTAACTCCTCGCAGCATCCTACTCAGCAATTAGCTTTAGTGCCCTCTGCTGCTGCTCGCTTTGGATACACACACTTTTTGGCCACAGCCTTGAATCAGTTAGCCTCACATTTGGCATTTGACTTTCTTTTTATATTTTTTACTTTTTACCTTGTTGTTGCTTAATTTTGTTTTTATTGCTGTTGCCGAGCCGGCCTCCGGCTGTCGTATGTCTATTCATTGTGGCCTGGACGCGACCTGGAGCTGGATGTGGGTTTGGGATGCCCCGTTTGTGCACTTGGCACGAGAGAAAGAGACAGCGAACTATAGAGCAAGACAGAGGAAGAGAGAGAGAGAGAGAGAGAGAGAGAACGAGCTAGAGAGATACTGTCGTTGATTGCCGATTGCTGATGCTTACTAATTATCAAAATTGAATTGAATTTAAGTAGATGCAAATTAGTTCATTGCCCGCTAATGCTAACAAAACGAGTAGGAATGCTCTAGAACCAGCTGCTCGACTATATGTTGCCCTGTAATACGCATCGCAAGCATTGAATGTGTACACATACATACATATAAAGTTTCCCTCTGCAAGAGCGAAACATATTCAAATCAATTAAAATGCTGGCTTAGATCAATATATAGATATATACACACACTTTATAGCTGGCGGACTTCTGTCATTGTCTGCTTCGTAGTCCATTAAGCCCGTTTCTTGCAGCTACAGGGTAAACGATAGTAAAACAAAGCAACGGCATCTCTTTGAACATTAACAAAAACCGCAAAAATTGTACATAATCCGTTCGCATTATGCATAAATATTTGCTTGTGGTTAATTATTTTACAGATTGTGCAAATTAAAAAAAAAAAAAAAAAAGACGTCATTTTGCGATCGAGTATTTGCAGCATTTTTAGGTAGACATTTTCTATATAGAGCATTTATCAAGGGTTCAAGGGAAATAAGCAGCCCACAAAAGTAGAGGAAAAATGAAAATAGAAAACGGCTACAAAATCAATTTGCCTTAATGAAAGAAGTGGAAGAATTTTGCAAGGAAACGAGCATCAACCTATTGTACAGATGAGAACCATACAACCTGTAATTACTTACGATTTATTTCTAAATATATATTATTTTTTAAGTTTTTATTTAGCTGGCTCGAGCTACGAAACCAACAATAGATATTATTTTTAAATATATTATTTCTAAATATATTTTTAAACATATTTGTGAATTCATTCAAAGAGAATTTGAACCAGAAATAAACTCTCTGAAGCAGAAAATAGTGCCACTTGTTTATACTTTCTTAATACTAACTCGCCTCTTGGAATTTGGGATATGTAGCGAAATCGATATTTAATATGGGATACATATCATGCATATCACAGTGTCCTGATTTGCATGAATATAATAAGAGATAGAATAATGAGTATCTCAATCCCTTCAGAATCTCAGCCTCCATTCAGCCTAACATTTGATTGCTTGTGAAAAGTTCTAATAGTCTGCCCTGAGAGTAAATAATAATAATAATAATTTATAATTTTTTTGATAAATAGCTTTAATAAATAGTGAAGCACATTGCGAGATTTGATTATTTATTTGATATATATCGAAATTTCTTGGCCGCCAGCGGCGTCTGCTTCTGGTTCCGTCTCTTTTTTTTTTCTCTTTTTCTTGTTCAGCTTCTGTCGAGGGTCAAATCTTGTCCTTAAGCCCAAAAAACCGGCATGGTCTTCGGCTGTTGGTAAACAAGCAAATCATTGAATAAATCGAAAGGCAACGAAACGAAATCGAAAGCCGCAGAAACTTCTGCAGAACTGATTACAAATGCATTTGAATTTAAATTTGAAATCAAATACCGAGACCTTTTTTTTTTCCTTCTTATAAGCAGAAATGTTTTTTGTGTGTGTTTTTATCTCAGCTTGTTTATTTCTTTTGTCAGCTTCTTGTTCATTGTGGATTGTTAATAACATTTTTGAACTTGAATGCATTGCCATGTCTGACGTCATTCAAATATTTGAAACAATGCCCCGAAAGCGAGCCCCGAGATCTTGTCTGGAGAACAGCAATAAAATAACAAACATATATGCCTGCATATATGTATAAACAGATATCAAATAATAAACAAATTATAATTAAATAATTCAATATAAGTATATCTGATATATATATATATATATATATATATATATATATATATTATTATTATTTTTTTCTGACTGCAGCTCTGCTTAGATCACATTGTGAAGGCTGAGCAAATTGACCCCAAATGCAAATTTTCCTATTGAAATTGTTGTCTGTATTGTTTCAACGATCTTCAGATCGAAAGCTTCAGATCCAAGCCAAATGTTGTCCACTGCAACTGCTTCCGCTTCTGCCGAATGTTACATATATCTATATAAAGACGAGCCGAGCGACGTTCAAAATGCAAAGGTTGCAACACAGCCAAGTTTTGTGCAGCGCGGCAGATCGAACAGATTACCAGGTGAGTTAGCTGAGGATAATTCCCTACGTATATTATAATTAACTGCAAGCAGCAGCTGACGCATAGGCATAACATATATGCATAAGCACTTTTTATATGCATATCATCTTAGGCATAGGCTTAGTCGGTAATCTAATCGCTGGCCATATTCCGCTTATCAATCAAACGCTGATAAACCCTGCAACTACACCTGCCCGAACGGGCGCCGACGGCCGACAGCCGACTGTCCATAGCCGACAGCCGTGGGCCGACTGTCGACTGCCGACGGCGACTGCCGACTGCCGAGTGCCGATCGCCGAGTGGCAAGCGTCTGTTTGCTCTTGAGCTTGGTTTGCGGTCTAAAAACATAAACAGAGAGCGCACGCGGCGCTGGCGATGCACTCAAAACAAAGCCGACAACGCATTGAGCGGCTGTTTGAGCTCAAACATGTTCGAACGGTCACGCTGGCAGTGGCAACATGTTGGGCGCGCGCGCCGAAATCGAGTGAAAAATGGAGACTGCGCTGCGCTGCTGATTGGAAACTTGTTGATTTGGCGCTGTCAGCTTTATGGCAAGCGGCTAGCGGGGCGGCTGCTAGCTGCGGGCGAATCGGTGACGCTGGAGGCAGAGGCAGCACCAGCAGCACCAACAGCAGTAGTAGCAGCAGCGGCGGCGACAGCGGCAGACTGATATGAGCGCATCAAACAGAGACCGAGACCGAAACTGAGACAAAGACGGAGACGAAGAGGGAGAGGGAGACGAAGACGAAGACGCAGACGAAGACTGATATGAGCGAGTGCTTGTGGCGCCGGCAGAGACGGCAGCGTCGGCGGCAAACGATGGCAGCAGCGCCCCAGCCGCAGTAGCAGCAACAGCAGCCGCTGCCCAGCTTTTGACTATCAGATTCTGTCCCAGAGCGGGCAACAGTCAGAGTCAGAGTCAGAGCCAAAGCTGCGCTGCCCGCTCTGCCCAAGCGAGCAGCTCAAAAACGTTGCAGACGGCGACGTCGTATCGGTCGTTCGTCGTCGTCGTCGTCGTCGTCGTCGTCGTCGTCGTCGCTGTCGCCGTCGGCTTTAGCTGTCGCTGTCGCTGTAGCTCTGGCTGTGGCTCTGGCTCTGGGAGTGTGCGCGCGCTTGAAGCGGCCGAGCCGCGATTGCCGTCGATCACTCGTTCGCGTTCGGCGCTGCTCTGCGAAGCGGCGGCCGAGTTGTTATAAAAGTGGCAAGGACATACGCTCGAGCCATTAGTCGAAAACTATAAACGCTCGACGCGAAATCGTCTCCGGGTCTCTCCGCCTACTTCTTCGACTCAAGCACGCAACTATTTTTTTTTTTTAATAACATCTGCCGCTCAATACGTTTAAATGTTAACACGCCAAACACAATTTTAGGCAGTTTTTAAATAAAGAAAAAAAAAAATAATTAATCCAAATAAATCAAAGGAATTCAACAACAATTTTTTTTCCCGTTTCCTGCGCCATAGACACTAAAAAAAAAGAGAATTTTTTTTCGTCGCAAGTAAAAGCAAAAGTGACAACAAATGGCTCAGCAGTGCAGCAAATAAATTAATTAAAAATAAATTAATAAAAGGAAAAATAAACACACACACACACACACACACGCACACACAGATAGAGAGAGAGAGCTGCGAGCATCCTGTGTTGCCTGCGGCCCGCGTCCAGTCGAAGCTGAAAATACTGTTGACAAATCGAAAGAAAAAGACGCCCAAAAAGCGGCAACATGCTGGCCGACTCGTATCTGATAAAGTTTGTGCTGCGCCAGCTGCAGATGGAGCAGCAGGACGCACAGCATCTGCTGCTGGTCTTCCTCAGCTTCCTGACGCTGATCAGCCTGCTGCAGTGGCTGCTGCGCCACTATCGCGAGCTGCGCAAGCTGCCGCCCGGCCCCTGGGGCCTGCCGGTCATCGGCTATCTGCTCTTCATGGGCAACGAGAAGCACACGCGCTTCATGGAGCTGGCCACCAGATACGGTTCGCTCTTCTCCACCCGCCTCGGCAGCCAGCTGACCGTCGTCATGAGCGACTACAAGATGATACGCGAATGCTTTCGCCGCGAGGAGTTCACAGGACGACCGGATACGCCGTTCATGCAAACGCTCAACGGATACGGTAAGTGAACTTTTCCAGTGTTAATAGAAAAAATAATGAAATCAACGAGGCTTAAATGAAAAGTGACAGAACGAAGAAAACGTATTGCGCCTTAATTTGATTTGTGCTTTTTGTTTTTATAAGTGGAAAACTTGGCTTTATACTAAATGCATATACGTCATATAATTATATTTATAAATACATATATATACATATTGTTTTTGCACTTTGTTAAGTTTTTAGCATTATCTCAGTTTTCTTTTTGTTTTTATTGGTTTTCACTATTCGTAGTATTATTTTTCGAGTACTTTGGAATTTTACAACTTGGAATTCGATTTCAATTTTGTTGAGACAGCACAAAAATTTCAATAAATAATACCAGATAAGCGAGCGTTACGCGCTATATTTCTATATATAGTAATACTGTAATGCATTACGGCTTAAAAAAAAAAGTCAAAATTAACAACAACAAAAAAACACTTTAAACAAAATGTTTAAGGCGAGAGACGAGCAAAAACAAACACAATAGCTGGGCATTTCTTCTTTGTTGGCCACTTTTTACTTAATATCATATAATTTTTTATATTTTTGTTTAACGGCTGCCTTTGGCCAGGCCAGGCCAGGCCAGGCCAAGCCAGGCCGTAAGCCGCTCAATGATAAGAGCTTGGCAAAAACAAAATTGAAAAAAAAAATTAAAAAATAAAATTCCAACATTTCTTGTTGGGGGATTTCATTTCTGGTATTTCGCTTCAACAATTTGCCAAAAAAAAAAAAACAGAAGAGAAAAAAAAGTGGGGCAAATCAACGTACGCGAAGCCTACCTCAATTAAATGAAAATAAAACAAACTGCATGAGCGAGAAGCGAGAAGCGGAGAATTAAGAGAGAAGTAAGAGAATTACAAAAGCAGTACAAAATATCAATTAAAATTTCATTAAGTGCGTTGGCTAAGTGCCCACCATACAAATATATATATGTATATATATATACATATAATCATCTGTATAGGTATCTGTAGCTTATAGGAATTGCTTTCGATTTAGTGTGGCATTATCGTAACGCACCTTAACGTATCGGGCACGTCTTGTTTCGCTTGCAGGCATCATCAATAGCACCGGCAAACTGTGGAAGGATCAGCGTCGCTTTCTGCACGACAAGCTGCGCCAGTTCGGGATGACCTACATGGGCAATGGCAAGCAGCAGATGCAGAAGCGCATTATGGTGAGTATTTGAGGGCACTCCATTCCAGATATATATGTATGTATTTACACCTGCCCCCCTTCTCTCCCTCTCTCTCTCCTTGTCTGTGCAGACGGAGGTGCACGAGTTCATCGGGCATTTGCATGCGAGCGACGGGCAGCCAATTGACTTGTCGCCGGTCATCTCGGTGGCGGTCAGCAATGTGATCTGCAGTCTGATGATGTCGACGCGCTTCAGCATCGACGATCCAAAGTTTAGGCGCTTCAATTTCCTGATCGAGGAGGGCATGCGTCTCTTTGGCGAGATCCATACCGTTGACTATATACCGACGCTGCAGTGCTTCCCGAGCATCTCGACGGCCAAGAACAAGATAGCCGAGAATCGTGCCGAGATGCAGAAGTTCTACCAGGATGTAATTGATGAGCACAAGCGCAGCTTTGATCCCAGCAATGTGCGCGATCTGGTCGATTATTATCTGTGCGAAATCGAGAAGGCCAAGGCCGATGGCACCGACGCGGAGCTCTTCGATGGCAAGAATCATGGTGGGTTGACGACATCCTCCAGCCCCTTCGGCTGCCAGCCAACAAATCAACCACTTCTTGTCAAACTAATTGTTTGTTTTCTTTTAATTTGTTGTTTTTGATCTGTGCAGAGGAGCAGCTGGTTCAGGTGATCATCGATCTGTTCTCGGCGGGCATGGAGACCATTAAGACAACCCTGCTGTGGATAAATGTGTTCATGCTGCGCAATCCCAAGGAAATGCGACGCGTCCAGGATGAGCTCGATCAGGTTGTTGGTCGCCATCGATTGCCCACTATTGAGGATCTGCAATATCTGCCCGTCACCGAGTCAACGATACTCGAATCTATGCGCCGCTCCAGCATTGTGCCATTGGCCACCACACATTCGCCCACAAGGTAAGCATCAATCATCCAGTGTGAACTATCGCCAATTGGCAGTTGGCAGTTGGCAGTTGGCAATCGGTTATCAGCTATCAGTTATCAGCTATCAGTTGTGGCCACGCCCCTTAGAGCCCATTGCTTACGCATTCATTCGTTTTGTGCGCACATCGCAAATGACGACAACGAGGTCCATGCCACTCGTTCATTCACACCACGCCTGGACAATGGCACCAGATTGCACATTCATTGTCGCAAGCCTTAGGTGCGCTGCGGTGCGGTGCGGTGGGTTAGTGAGTTCTCTCAAATACAAATCAAATGGCACTGGCACTGGGAACTGCATGGGGGAAACTGGCTTTCATCGCTCGATCTCTCCCCAGGCCCCAGCTGTGTCTCGGCGGTTCTGCTTGGTTTTCAGTTTCATTGGAAGCGCTTCCTTTGCGTCGCAGCTTGGCCCAGTTTCGGTTCTACGCACTTCACTTGATACCGCTGATTAGAGGCTTGTCAGCTGATAACCGAGCCAGCGCCACAAATCAATAAGAAAAGAAAAAACTGCAGCAGCAGCAGCAGCAAGCAGCTCCACTCGCTTGAAACACTTGACTAACCCAGCTTCTCTTCCGTTGCTCTCTCCTCTCTCTCTCTCTCTCTCTGTCTCCCCTCTGGCACACAACAACATTGCTATCGGCTCGCAGAGATGTGGAACTGAATGGCTATACCATACCGGCCGGCTCGCACGTCATACCGCTGATCAACAGCGTGCACATGGATCCCAATCTGTGGGACAAGCCCGAGGAGTTTCGCCCGTCGCGCTTCATCGATACGGAGGGCAAGGTGCGCAAGCCGGAATACTTTATACCGTTCGGTGTCGGGCGGCGCATGTGCCTGGGCGATGTGCTGGCCCGCATGGAGCTGTTCCTGTTCTTCGCCTCGTTCATGCACTGCTTTGACATTGCGCTGCCCGAGGGCCAGCCGCTGCCCAGCCTCAAGGGCAATGTCGGCGCCACCATAACGCCCGAGTCCTTCAAGGTCTGCCTGAAGCGCCGTCCACTGGCGCCCACCGCCAACGAGCCGCATCATCAGCGCAACGTCGGCGCCAATTGAGCGCTCCGAGGGCTCGCAGCCACAGAGCACGGTTTTGTTCCTAGACACGTTCTTTTTTTTATTATTATTATTATTATTATCATTATTATTATTATTATTATATTTGAATAGCTCTTAAGTTGAAAAAATAATTAATTAGGCAATTCGCGCATTAAGTTTGAGTTTAAGCTAGGATCTAGGTTCAAAGTTTTCAAAGGCTAACAACAACAAGAAGAGCCTGTCAGCAACAGACAGATATAGCTATATACATATATATACATATACATATATATTTTAATTCGTCATGCATACACATACACACTTATGTGTGTGTGTGTGCGTGTGGGTGTATTTAGTTATGTTACGAAGCAAACAAATTCTATTCTTTCAACCCCAAGAAGCTGTGTTCAGTTAATTAATATTTAAATTTGTAATCGATTAATTAGCAATTTAATTAGACAACTTGTAATATTGTGTTTATAAACATGCATATACATACATACATATACATATACATAAACATATATATATGAAAATTTTTTTGTCTTAGCCTTAATTAGCTAGTTGATGTTTTTGTTAATTTCATATTTAGCCTTAAGACAACAAACAACAAAACAAACTGTGGTTTAGTTTTATGCACACAACACACAAAACATAGGCAAAAACAATTTCTGAAATTCAAATAATAAACGAATTAATAAAAGAAAACATTTGATTTGTTTTTAATATGCATATCAAAAAAAAGAAAGCATGCGCTTGAAAAGTTTGTATATTTTCTTTTTTTGTTGACAAAAAAAATCATAAAAAAAATATATATATATATTTATATATGTTGGAATATAATTTAATGAAAAAGAATTTTACAAACACCGCTTGATACAAAAAATAATTTTAATTAATCTAAAAATAACTTTAAACAAATTAATATTTTGCCTAAAGTGTTGTTAATTTTATGCAAAGGCTATTATTTATATTCCTTTTTTTTTTCTCGAAAACTTTCAACTTTTCCTAGTTATTTACATAAAAAAAAACTAGCCAAATTGTTAATTATAAAAGATTTATAAAAAAAAAACCCTTAAAAAGAAAATGAAATGCAAATAAATGAAAATTCAAAGAGAAGTAGCCCAAAATCTAATCGTTTTTCTGCAGCTGCTCCAATTTAGTTAAGCGCAGCTTGTAGTGCGCCGGCGACAAGGTGATGCCGCACTCGCCGGCCATGTCCACGTCGCCCTCCTCGCCGGCGGGCAGCTGGACGTGAAAGCGACGCAGAATGCGCCCGGTGAAGAGGGTGAGCATCATGCGAGCCAGCTCATCGCCGGGACACATGCGCTTGCCCGTCTGGAAGGGTATGAACTGTGCCGGCGCCGCGTACTCGCCGCTGGCATTGAGAAAGCGCTCCGGACGGAACTTCTCGGGCGCCGGCCAGACCTCCGGATTCATGTGTATGGCCCACTGCAGTATGAGTATCATGCTGCCCTTCTCCAAGCGATAGTCGCCCACAACTGTGTCCTCATCGACGCCGTGCGGTATGCCCAGCGGCACCACAGACCTGATGCGCTGCACCTCGGACAGGCAGGCGCGCAGGTACGCGATCGGCTCGAGCTCGGCCAGCGTGGGCGTCTCGCCAAGCTGCAGCAGTTCCGCCTGCAGACGCTTCTGGCAGCGCTGCTCGCGCGCCATATAGAGCAGGAACCAGCGCAGCGTGGCCAGCGCTGTGTCGACGCCGGCGCCAAAGAGATCGGCCAGCAGATGACGCAGCTGGTCATCGCAATAGAGCTGCGAGAACGGCTGGCGTTCGCCCAGGAAATGCTCCAGGATGCTGCGCGGCGGCAGCGGCTGCTGCTGCTTTTGCTGCTGCTGCTCCAGCTGCAGCTCCAGCTGCTTCTCGCAGCGCTCGACAATGCGATCGTAAAGCTGATGGGTCTTGGCCTTGCCGTCCAGCAGAAAGCGAATGCTGCGCTTGTTGCCCGGCAAATAGCGCAGCCAGGGCAAAAAGTTGACCATGCCCGAGACGCCAATCAGCTTGACGCCCTCCTCCTGCAGCTGCTGCAAATACAGCCAGTTGGGATCCTGGCGCTCATAGGTCTCGCCAAAGACCAGATCGTTGATGATGTTGCCCAACGTGTGCTGCAGCGCGGGCAGCGGATCCAGCCCATCGGCTTCCTGCGCTTCCGTCTCGTACGACTGCGGAAAGAACAAGTAAGCGGGACACAAGATGCCAGTCAGAGCGGTAGAGCGAGAACACAGTGAAAATGCCAAAAGCGAAAGGTGGAAAACAAAAAAGAAAAAAAAGGCGAGAAAAAAAAAATTGCAAAGCAAAGCAGCAAAAACATGCGGCAACAGAAACAAAAACACAACAACAAAAAATTAGCAAATTTTAAATTTATGCGTCGTTATCGTCGTCGCCGTCGTCGACAGCGGCTGCGACAGCGGCAGCGACAGCGACAGCGACAGAGACAGCAGCACAAAACACACAGCAGCGGACGTCGAGTGATGACCACAACGGAAAGTGAATGTCCACCAACAGAGACGACGACGGCGACGGCGACGACGGCGATGACGCGTAGGACCTTCACTTTCATGATTCTTGGAATTTCTCGCGCCGGCCAGTTGGCCAATTAGTCAGAGACTCCACCAACCACACCACAGCACACCACACAGACTCGGCGCGACTCACCTGGACGCACTCGTCGACGCCGCGACCGATGCGCTGCTCCAGCTGTGCACGCGTCTCGCACTGTTTGCGCGTCATGCCCAGCGCCTTAAGCCACTCGATAAGCTGGCGACGCTGGTATTTCCAGATGTCCCCGCCAGCGCCAATGATGCCTGCACAAAAAGAAAAATAAATAAATACAAAAAATAATCCGAAAAAAGTTGCTGTCTTAAGTCATTCGTTTCGATTCGCCGTCTCTGTCGCACATACTCACCATAGCCACCCATGATGCCGTGCGTCAAATAGAGCGGAGCACGCGCCGTCAGCTCCTCGTGGCGCAGGAATTCGCGCACCAGCACCGCATCCGAGAGCACCACCGTGCGCACCGAGCCCATGCTCAGCTGAAAGATGCCGCCAAAGCGTTTGGCCAGCGCCTGCAGCGACTTGTGCGGCGCCCGCCTGTCCAGGAACGGTAAATAGCCCAGCAGCGGCAGGCCCCACGGTCCGGGCGGCGTGCGCCCAAACAGCCGCGCATTCCGACGATGACAAATCAGAGACACGATAATCACGATAATGCCCAGCAGCACCCCAAACACAATGATCTCCATCCGAACGGATTTATCATCCGTGCTATTTTCACTCATATTTCCGTTTGATTTCACTTTTGTCTTTTTCCTTTTCCACTGCGCAGGTAATTTTATCCAGTTTAGGTACTTCAGCTGCTGCTTTTTCTGCTACTTCTTCTTCGGCCAGTGGGTACACGTCCGTTCGGCCAGGCGGTTCTTCAATTACTGGAATTTCTATGGATTTTCGAAACGTGTCGGGAGCGTAATGTAATGCAAACGGCGAAAAACAGCGCAGCCAAACGACAGACGACAGACAGCAGGAACAGACGAAGGCCACACAATTTAGGTGCATACATACATATATATAAATACATGCATAAATATATACACACACACACACACACAGACATGTCTTTACCTCTCGCTCTACCTATGGCTTAAGCATATACAAGAAGGTTCGCTTCTTCCTTGGTTCACGTAGCTAAAATTAGAAATTGAAACATTGCCGGCAACTGGAAAATGCTATGTACATATATTTGCACAGATACATACAGATACACACACACACACACACACACAGGCACACACACTTGCAGACGCGCATTTGTAATGGGAACCATTGAAGCAATCGCAAATCCTACAACTCGCCCGATCGTTCGATTGCTTAACTCTGGATCAGTTACATATTCAAAATACAATATCCTTGCAGAGAGTATTTTAAATTTCGTATGAAACATGTAACACGTAACATGTAAACGAAAAGAAAAATTAAATATATAAGCGCATATACATATAATTATAAAAACACATATATAATTATATAAGCAAATATATTATAAAAATTAAAACTTTTAAATTAACTTTTGGTAACAAATAAATATTAAAACCAAAATTAAAATCTATAAATTAATATGATTAAAAATTCAAATTTAAAATTAAATAAAAAGTTAAAGTAATTAACACTAAAATCAAAATTAAGACATAAAATAATATAAATAAAAATTAAAGTTAAAAATGAAAGTAAAAAATTAAAATTAAACTAAATTTAGTTTATTCTAAGCAGCCCACTAAAAACATTTTCTCATAAACTTATATTATATTCATTTCAATTAAATTAAATAAATTTAGTATATATTTTAAATAATTCAACTGAATAATCATCAGTAAATTAACGAAATTATTTTAACTAAATAGAATTGTTATTTACTTGAAATACATACAATTCATTGCAATATGTTAGGGTATTTACTCTGCGGCTACTCGTTTAACATTTTCCGCTTATTTTACATTTCTTTTCGCTGTTTTTGTATTTTGGGTATTTTGTTTTGATTTTCATATCATTTTTGAAGCAAATTTTTGGGTTTTTTCTTGTTGTTTTATTTATGTGTGTGTGTGTGTGTGTTTTTTTAATTGAATTTGATACGAGTAGCTTATATACACTTACTCGGGTATATGGGAAAAACCATTGAGCACTGAGTAAAAGCTCGCATATATAGAAGGTACATGGAATATTTATGGATTTTCAAGAACTTGTGAAAAACCTAAAATACTAATTTTTAGCTCTTTTCGAAGGTTTATCAAATTTTATTGAAAAGCTCGAATATGCTTGAGGCCATGTTTTCCAATTAAAGCTTAAGAATCTTGGAATATACATATATTCATAACAGACGAAGTTTTAACATTGTTTGACCACGCCCACTACAATCATTTCTGCCTTCCACGGTTTTAAGACTAGAGCTCACAAACGTTGGCCTACCAGCAATTGCAAAATCGATAAGTTCCAAGTTCACAGTTTGACAGCGACTGATTTAGGCTTACAGTTTGGAAGTGAGCAGGCTTACACAGGGATCTCACTAACTTAACTAAAGTATTAAGGCCCTCCATAAGGCTAGAACTCTCAATAAGATTCCTGTTGAACTCTTGAAATCTGATTGATGAGAAACTTCTCGCATCGACTAAGCATCGGAATTATATTCCCCCAGACACACAGACATCACAGCATGAACATGATATAACCCGTTACATAAATGTAGAAAACACACACAAAAAAACACGAAACAACGGATACTGCAAAGAAGTAGAAGAAGTAGTAGTAGAAGAAGAAGAAGAAGAAGGTGGTGACCGATCTTTAGCGATGAAGCTGGTAAATCATCGGGACCATGCCATCAAGTTTCTGCGCCAGAAGCTGCGCTCACTGCTGCAGAGTTTTCAGGAGGACTGCGAGACGACCTACCAGGAGGCGGCGCGGCTGCTGTTCCATCTGGGCCTCCAGGATCTGGAGACGCACATCAATTGGCTGGAGTACTACAATGCGAATGCGCCGCTGCTGAAATGGAACTCGGTGAACAACTATATCGAGCTGCACTATCCGAACGATGACAATGTCCAGAAGACAACAATTGCCGAATACACCAAACTGACCATCTATCTGCAGCAGGAGAGCCTCGAGATGCCGCGCAAGAAGGCCTACTATCTGATCGAGATGCTCCACTGTGCTCGCAGTCTGGACCAGCTGACGCTAAATGGGTCTCTCAATCCGCTGGAGCCGGTTGTGGTGAATCTATTGTTCTTGGATGATACCATCGAGAAATTCTACTATTTGGTCTATCATCTGTTGCCGCTCTACCGGGACCATATACGTCTGCAATGTGATTGAGTTTTGCTGTGGCCACATTTTTGGATTATGTTCTTTATTATTTACCGTTCAGCATTATAATGTGTGTGCGTGCTGCTTGCCACACCATCGAAAATGCAAGTTGCAAGTTGCAAATGTCGTGCTACTAAAACTGACTGTGACTGCCGAGGCAGAGGCAGAGGCTGCGACTGCGACTGCGACTGAGGCTGCAACTGAGGCTGGGGCTGATTCATGCCTGGCACGGAAGACTTCAACAATGGACCACAAACAAGTTCAGGGCCGTTGGCATGCGCTAAAATAGAATCCCAGCCAGCGTGCCATTGACTCCTGACTGGATCCGGGGCCGGCCACAAAGGACCAGCAACAGGCACTGGCTAAAGATGTACGACTGCCAAGACTGCCACGACTGTGTGGCATTAACGTTTACGAGTAGTAGCCTTACCAACATTATATTTTAATGACCTGCCGGCAGACGGTAACCCATGAATCCATGTCTGCCAATGAACCGCAACGTCCGGCTGCCAACTGCCAGCCGCCAACTTTCTGTGGAGATGATCACAAGCTGATATTTCCCGCTAAATTCTGCTGAATTGCTCTGATTATAGCTCTGGCAGCACGCATATCAACACAGTTACCGCTCTCTCTCCCTCTCTCTCTTCCTCTCTCTTCCTCTCTCTCCCTCTCTCTCTCCCTCTCTCTCTCTCTCTCTCTCTCCCATTCTCTCCCTGCATATCTATGTAGATGCAAACTAATATATACATTTATCAAAAAAAAAAAAAAAAAAAATAATACAACAAATTATACGTAAAGTTACATAAACCTCAGTATTATTTTATACGATAATTTAGTTTGTTTCATAAGTACAAAATGTATACAGCTGAGCTCTCAAGCATTTCTTTACAATTAAGCTAAGTTTGGCTTAAGTTACGCTAAACTTAGCTCTTAAAAGGGCTTAAGAAATAGCTTAAATTAAATACATTTATCAAAGAAATAAAATGATATTCATCATTTCCCAAATGTAACAAGATCGCAGACTTACCGCATTTTCACTTCCATTTACACAAGCTCCTGTTAAAGTTAACAGTCACTTTAACATGTACCAAGTTTGCGGTACTTTTGCTGATCTTGTCACATGGGAAATTAGATTAGAGATAAAAGAAGATTAAAAACAATTTTTGATAAATGGATGGAACTGACCAGGAATGCCACCTGGCAAGCTGTCGCATACTTATAGAGTGAAGAAACTGAGCATGAATATGTTCTAGAGATGAGCTCATTTTGCTTAGCGGTTTTCTGGCTAAAATCTTTGGCATTTCAGTTGATAAACTGGCATTACAAAAACCGTCGGTCGCTGAACCTTTTTATTGTTGCCAACGCCTCAGATCAAGGGCTGAAGCTTCGAGATCAAGATGAAAACTCAACTGAGGCTGCGCAGCTGAGACTCAATGACCGCCGTCTGTTGGCTGTGTGGTAAAAACAAAAAAAAAGGGTGTAGCTGCATCTACGCCATCTGCTAAGCTGGCTGGCTGGCTGGCTGGCTGGCTGAACGTTCTTGAGGTGGCAACAGGTTCAATCCAATTCAAGATCATTGGCCGGGCAACATCCTATGGAAAGGACATGAACCCGAGCCTCAGCCAGTTAGTCGACAGATGCGCTGCGCTGCGCTGCGTTGCGTCGCGTTGCGTTTCGTTGGCCTGTGCTGAATTCTGGATTATTTTTAAACCCTTCAGTCTGACTGCCTTTGAGCAATCAGCGATCGCAGCGGCAAGTGGCAACTGCTGGTCAATAAACTTTTCAAACTTTGAGACTTTGTAACCCGCCGCAAACGCATTTTGTACACTCATGATACACACACACACACACTCACACACTCCGTCAAGTTGATATTATGCTCTAATGTCTAATCAGCGCATTGCGCATAAAAATTTTTGGTTGAAAAATGGGGACAGCTTTCGGCTTCAGTTTAGTCCGGCTCACGTGGCGTATGCGCGTTCTTCTTATCATTTCCACATTCTTTATAGGAGTATGTGCACACACACACACACACGTGGCACATAGGGCATGTTGTGTACATTTCGTAAAAGCAATTTTTATTACAATTGCAACAGCAACAACAACAACAACAACAACTAAGAGCAGCAGCAGAGACTGCGACAATTCTTTCCGCTAGCTCTACAATTTCTCTGATATGGGATGGCATGCATAACCGGACCATGCCCCTGCCCCTACCCCTTTTGCAACCCCCCCCCCCCCCTCCCTAACCGTCGCAAACCCCACACAGCAGCATTCTTTGGCAACGCCAATCAATGTGTTTGCTTTGTACATAAATAAATTTCGAAAGCACACGAGCCCGGAAAATGTGTCAAGGTAGTTTGCATGCTTTATTTCTTAACCCAATTTTCACACTGCGCTTCACAATTGCCGCTGGCAGTTGATATTTATATATATATATATATATTTGATTGCCGCTGCCGTTGTCAATATTCTATGTACACAGATACACACACACACACACAGAGACAGACACCAGCTCGCATAGCTGCAGCGTGGCAAATTTTGGTTGCCAAATATGCAGCGTCGGATTTCTTGGCCATTAATGGAGC